GACCAAAAGAATTATCATGGGTCGTTGATATCCTTCCTTTGCTTCTGAAGACTGCATCGGAGTGGAATTTTTTCAAATGAATTGCAGGTTGCAAATCCCTTGATATTGCTTCTACTGACTCTATTAGCCAACAAGACTGATTATTGAACTTAGCTCTGTCTTTCGCTTTATCTATATTTGATGTCGACTGAACTCGCACGCCTTTCAAACCTCAAGGTCTCTGTCTTGTACCTAAGTCATCTGGGTCTGTACCCACTAGCCTACCTGGATTTGTAATTGACATCCATATCTATAATTTGTAAGTTATTTAAAGTTTGTCACACATTTGGAAATGTAACATATATATGCTTTTACACCGTTAATAATAATATTCTTTCCTAATATTATTATATTCTTAGGAGCAGTTATTTAAATTTGTGTTTTTACTACTGGTAATACCAAATTTCCATGCAAAATCCGGTACTCATTATAACCGTAAAAGGTTTTATCAAGTCTCTGTCAATATGACCAAACTTGACCGTTACATCCGTCTCGTACTGAAAGTTGTGAGAACCCAGCATATTCAGTTGCATCTATTTCATTTTACCGTAACCAACTACAGAATTCACGAAGTTTGTTTTTTTCCAGTGAAATTCTTAATAAACTCAGTATAATCAATCTCCTGCATCCCAGGAATTATAAGTGACACTTTTATGATATTCCTCAGTGATGTATATATGGTTATACGCGACGTATCTAGTTATCCTGTTTACCTTAATACAGTTCGAAGCAGTTACATCGAAATTCGTCTTATATTCGTTCTCTGTTTCCTGATTTCTATTTTTACGTCTCTGGCTTGACACTTACAAGCCATCGAGTGCTTTTTTGTCCTATTCAGAATGCCATTAAAATAGCACAATAGTGGTAGACTGTATGGTAGGACTATAGTTTGTTGATGAACTAACGAGACAAGAGGTAGCGAATCTTAATTCCCTGTGGTATCCGTCCAACTTGATAAGTTTTTTAGCACTTACGATTAATGTTATCCCTAACTCAACTCACACCGGTTTATAACCATATTTCAACCCTATTACCAGAGAGCAAGTACTGCCCATATCTGCTAACGTTCCTCCACATCACTTTAACAGTGCGCGAAACAGGCTTTGTATCTGTTCTGATTTAGCTCTGTGATAGATTTAATCCTTCAATAGCACTTATTACCTGAAATAAAAGAAAAGTAACTAGATCAGGAAATGTCAGGATTAGAACATAGCTTATGTATCTTGTTTTCATCTAATCTATCCAGTATGTTTCTATCTATTTAGTCTAAGGAATATCTGTGAAACAAAACTGAAAGTAAACATTAGGAAGTCTGATTAAAAGTATATTTCTAGTTCCGTTAGCCGCACAAATAATCAGCTTACACTTTATTTCATTATTTCTGCTGAGTTGCTTGTGTAAATCCTAATCATGGACTTCGTATGAAATATTTGGATGGCTAGGCTTTAGACATAAGCTGAAGATTATCTAAATTCTCCGCGTACACTACTGACTGCTTAGTTCTTGTATACATACTTAACCAATATTCCTCGAAATATTTCCCACTAATGCAATTGCTTAAATTAATCTCTCCGCAAGATGATAGTAACCGATAGTTAGATACTTTGTAGGTGCAACGGTGCAGGTGTATCCATTCCTTGTTTTCTTTCAAATTCTAATCTTCTGAATCGCTCATCACCTTTACCTTTCTCTATTTAAATTGATGTCACTGCATTATATTTCTTGAATCATATCTTTGAACCCTAATATCGATTACAACTAATACTTTTACCATATCTATCATTATAGAATTTGAATCTGCAATTCGGTCTTTGCACCAATGTGGTATAGCAGTTTAAACTGATGTACGTAGGTACGAAAGTACCAAGTTATACGTTGTAGCTGACTAACTGACTGAGTTATTCCTTCAATAGCAGTTCAAAGTGGACTCCAGAACCGCGTCATCACGGGGTGTTCGTGCAACCCAGGCGTTGATATTCACCCAGAATTTCACCTAGTCTCTTCACCTTCAAACATCTGAAATCAAAGTGAATACCAACGCTAGAGTTCAGGCACATTTACCTGAAAAGTCCCTTAACAATTGAAGTTGAATATCTACAATCAAATACTTGACTTGAGGACTAAGAGTTTGCATAACAATTACACCTGTCTTCAGATTTCATCTTACCAGTATTCGTATTTGTACGCATGAGCACTACCATCAGCATTTATATTTACCAGAAACGAATGTATTTATAAATTTGCCGTTTTGAGTGTATTTCATTCCTCGTGATGGGGTTATCAACCAAATTATATCCAGTCGTATACAGAAGCTATCTAATTAATTATTTATGTAGTTAGAATTCTTAACCCTATTTTTACGAATTATGCATTCCAAACTGTCGATTCATTAAAACTTCATTTCGATGAGCGTAAAGTTTTCAACAAATGAATGCGGTCAAATATAACCTGCCAATCTTGGCCTTACTATTATGGTTGTCATCACTTCCCACAGAAAAAAAAACTATTTATCACCCAGTTTATAAACTTGTAATATTTTTATCACAGCATAGCAATTTCAGTCTAGGTAAACAAGTAATCCATACAGTCATTAGAATTATGTATACTCATTTTGTTTATCAGATATCTTACAATCTCTTTCTGATTCACCGTCCCTTATTAAGGGAACTGTCGCAATGATTTGAACAAAGTTGGAAATGTACATACTTTTGTGTCTATATACACCCGTCTTATTAAACATTGTATTCGTCCTACAATGTATTTCTTGCAGTATACCAAAACCCTCTATAAAAGGCAACCAAACTAGTCTTTGATATGTGGTCGACTTTCGTTGTGTGCATTGCGAAAAATTATTTTCCGAACTGTATTGTTCAGCTTGTCAATGAGTCTTGTTGTAAGGTAAAGAAATCTGCCTGTGACGTTATCGTTTGAATTTTCTAGCGTGGTGGGATTTGTAGTTCTAATTACCACAAAGTACGGTAGGGTACAAAGCAAACGAAGAAAGCATAGCGACATTCATTACATGTTAAATCCATTATAGTGGCTTGTACAGGTGCGATGTAACACAGTCTGTCATTTAGTTTATTTGACTGACAGATCAACAATATTATTTTAATCCTTAATAATTTGCTTATATTTCCATATAAACGACTATGTATCGCTTTATACACTTATCCGTCTACATATTTACTCCACTTATTGAGGTTTTAGTTGCCTAAATTGTATCTACTTACACATAAAACGAGCAATGGCTCATCCATTTGCGTACATATCCCTTCGTAAACATCACTATCCGTTTTTCTCTCGTAGCTTATTTATTGGTTGGATCAGGTCAGGTGTGTGGCTGAGACAAATAACTATAATTAATTTGGCTTATAAACTATGATAAGGGTTATCCAGTTGATCTGTATCATTCAGCCAGCAACAACATAGAAATTCATATGAACATACGGACATCAGTTCAAGTTGCCATACCGCATTAGCATAGAGATGCAATTGTTGATTCAAATCCCATAGTAGTAGGGGTAGTGGAAGTATGACCGGTAATCGGAAAGATTAGCGTTCGAAGATATTGTTCCATAATTTTCATTCAGTGAAAAAAATTCAGAAAGAGAAAGGTAGGAGTGACGAGAAATTCAGATTAGCATTTGAGAGAAGACAAAGAATGGATGCGCCGGTGCCATTGCAAACAATTTTGAGCCTCATCATTCAAGGTCTCTAACCATCGGTTAATTTCGTCTCGCGGACCCCAACCAGGTAGCTTACATCTACCAACATGACTCAGTCCACATGTTAGTGACTTCATGGATTTCTGCCATGTTTTGGTCTGGCCGCCCCTAACTTTCTTCCAATCTACTCCTACACTGCAAAACAAAGCTCTTCGAGGCAGTTGGTGGCTAGCCATACGTAACACATGTCCGAACCACCTCGACTGATGAAGTTTCAATGCTTCATCTATTGATCTGCCATTCTTACCTAGCACCCGTTTCCTAATAACAGTGTTGCTCACTCGGGTATCCCAGGATATACGAGCTATGCTTCGAAGACATCTATAATCGAACATTAATAACCTACGGATTCCCTCAACTTTTACCGGCCATGTTTCGCATCCACATTGTAGGACGGGAGTGAAAAAAGACGGTTGTGGAGATAAGAGATTTGTTAAGAGGTGTAGTAAGGTTTTGATTGTGTCTCGTGTTCTGTTATGAGTATGAGGGCGAATGTAACTTCCGGGCTGCCCACACCATGGAAGTTTACTGCTTGAGGAATCTAAAAAACAAGTTTGATTAGTATTGGCCCCAGCAACCCGGAAACATGACCGCCAAGATCAATAAATAGCTGTTTGATATCAGTCAAGTATAGCCTTTTTATGGGAATTTTCAGTGTTAGCTCCACTCTTCAAGCGGTCTTACCTCCGGAGACGGAAATCCGTGGGATAAGGTGGGGTGTAACATTTTTAGGGTCAACATTTTCTTATCTCTTTCTCCCATTGTGAGAAGGCAGCATCACTGCTGATGCTGGTTGCATGAGGTAATCACCTTACTTCTGTCACACCCTTTTATAGTCAGTATTACAATTTCGTTAGAACCTACAGGAACATATATTGCAGACAATCCAGCTTGATTGTATCGTTACGATAGCCAGATCCGACCACCACGTCAAGGAAGCAGCTACGATTGGATGATTTGTATACGAAGTTTAAGAATAAAGACTTAGGGACTCGGTAAAATAAAAATAAGAACTATCGATCGTATTTATTAGTGTTCATATCCTTTCTTCAGTTTCGTAGTACATTATTATTATTATTATTATTATTATTATTATTATTATTATTGTTATTATTTTTATATACTGTAGTCGATATCATGAATGATAATTTCTAACTTTTGCTTTTATAGAACATGGAACAAATCATCAAATGTTATGGAATTTTTTATCAAATAATGATTTTTATCATTCTTATGAGTAAAATTAAATGTCAAGAGGTCATTGACGGTCAAGTAAGTTTTTTGATGTTTTTATAGAAGTGTTACTACTTGTCTGTATTGTTTACTTACTATATTATTTATTACCCAAAAGGTGCAGTGAGAAAAGGGAGTGTGAGTAGAGTTAGTCGTAGAGATAAGAGAGACATTAGGGGGTGTAGGAACGATTTGATTTCGACCAATTTGGTCTCGCGTGCTGTTACGGGTATGAGGGCGGTTGTCACTTCCCGGCTGCCCACACCGTGGAAGGTTGTTTCTTGAGGGACCTGAAAAAGAAGATGGATTAGTGTTGGTGCGTGACCGCAGAGTCCAAGGGAGAACTGCTTGAGGCCGGTCACGCACGGCCTTTTTATGAGAGGTATTTAGACAATTAGCTCCGTTCTTAAAGGCCCTTAGTGGGCACCCTTACCCAAGGAGACGGAAATCCGTGAGGTAGGGTGAGGTGTGACATTTTTAGGGTCGACCTTTTCTAACCTGTCCTTCCTTGTGAGAAGGCAGCATCGCTGCAGATGCTGGTTGTCCGAGGGAAACACCTTACTGCTGTCACACCCCTCTGCAGTCAGCATTACGACTTCGCCCTCAGACCTTGGGTAGCTGCTTTTAGTCTCATCGTTCTTTAATCGACCTGTCTGGCATGGTAGAACCTTGAGGAACATATGTTCCAGCCAGTATAGCTCGGTTGGGTCATGACGATAGTCAAGCCCGACCACCACGTCAAGGTAGCAGCTATGGTCGGGATAATGAGTTAACAGACTGACCTAACTCTCCTCCCAAAGGATAAATTTAGGCAGCTTCTAATAATGTGGACCAAAGAAAGTTCATTTCATTTCAATAGTGTCTTAAATCGTTAAATTGATGGAGTAGCTATGGGTACTCGGGTACTACCCAAAATGCCTTCATTTATTTATTATGTGATGATTAGAATTGTGAGTCATATTGTTTGCTTAGAAATAAACACACTTCCTCAATCTAATATGCTATTTGTATGGATGGTTTTTTTCTCCTGAAAAGTTATCTGTGTTTAAAAAAAGTCTTACAAGAAAATTTTATCATTATAAAGTTCTACTGCTGCATTCTCATATCCAATGTTTTCATTGCCTAAGATCCGTATTTTAATCTATAAATATCGTTCATACTTCTTTCTAGAGAAAAGTACGGCAACAACCAACGTTTCTCATGAGAACATTTTTTTCATTTGTACATAATTAAGTGTTTTTTTTATAAACATTTTTCGATCGATTTCTTTTTTCATTTAAAAACTTTGTTCATGTATCTATCACGTATACTAATAATTAAGGCCATGTCGAGCGAGTTTATAAATCATTTGAAAAATTTGAATCCAGCTAGCTAGCTAGCTGTTCACTGAATCTCTCTCCTGTCCAATCCTTTTTTTTAGTTCGCCTAAAGAAAAGTTGTTCTATGTTATGAGCTTTGTTCAGCATCAATTGAATTGTTTCTGCTACAATAAGTGTAGCCAATTTGGTCTTTTGTATATTTGGGAAAATTTTCACTGCTGAATGCGCCTATGTTAAATGTAATGATAAGATTTTCTTAAAGTCATTGTTGTTAACTTATGATCAGTTTTTAAAATGTGCAACTTGTGTAACCTACTTACGCCTGTTACCCCGTCCAGTATTCTCCAACTTATTCTGTCCTGGGCCTCCCTTTCCAGTTCTGTCCAACTTTTGTTCATTCTCATATCTTTTTCTGTTTTTCGACGTAATGTGCTATTCGGCCTTCCTCTTTTCCTTCGACTTTGAGGGTTCCATGTGAGGGCTTGTCTTCGCAGTGTGTATCCTATCCACTTCCACCGCTTCTTACTGATTTCCTCCTCCATTGGAATCTAGTTTGTTCTCTCTCTCTCAGTAGGTTATTGTTGATAGTGTCTGGCCAACGGATCCGATATATTTTGCGTAGACAACTATTAATGAACACTTGTATCTTCTGGATGATGGCTTTGGTAGTTCTCCAAGTTTCCGTCCCATACTGTAGAACTGTCTTGACATTTGTATTGAAAATCCTGATTTTCGTGTTGATTGATAGTTGCTTAGAGTTCCAGATATTTTTCAATTGTGGAAATGCAGGTACAAGTTGCGTAACATAATATTTATTCGTTATAATACTGTGTTTTTAGTAGGCAATAAGAAATCCGCATGAGTATACTAGTCTAAAGACAGGCTATGTGAACCTGTAAATTCTGAAAATGAATGCTCCGTTGATCATTACTTGTCCTTAATGATTCTGAGTCATTGATGAAGTTTTGTTGGATGGTGGTAAATCACCTTCATCATCTTTACATCATCTTTAAGATATGCTAAAAGTGATGTCGTTTTATGATTTTTAATGACTAAAAGATGATACAGTTTTACATACTGTGAGTTCATCAATTTTTCCATTCCATCAATAAAGCTACCAACTTTCCTCATCTGTTCATCATTGTAGAAGTACACATCCGAACTTTATTCCTTAAAAAGATGTTGAACATCCTCTTAATAAGTGTGTAGTTTTAGGTTGTATACAGCTGATGAAAATTTATGAAATGAAATGAATTTATTTTATTTTTTATAACCTTGTTGTTCTAGTTCTATTTAGCTTTATCAACGTATCTGGTTATATAAAAAGTAAAAAGTATGGTATTAAGCGCTCTATAATACATAGCATAAGTTTTCGTTTCATAGTTATCTCATATTTGATAGGTGGATGAGTGTTGGGGTATGTATGCGATCGCATGACATAAATGCCATTCAGTCGACGAGGTTGATGAGATGTTGTCCCGAAGCAAAAATGGCCAAGCCAAAACATGGCAGAAATCCATGAAGTCATTGACAACTAGACAGCCATGTTGGTAAGTGTCGACTACTTGGTTTGGGCTCGCGAAATTATAGTAATTGATGGTTAGAGCCCCGGAATGACATGCCACATAACCGTTTGCAGTGGTTCAGGTGCATTCATTCTTTGTGTTCTGTCAAATCCTAACCTTAACTCCTCACCCCTATCTTTTTCTTTTTAAGTTTGTTTCACTAGATTCTACTTCTTGAATAATATCTTCTAACCCTAATCTCTCCGATTACTGCTAAAACTTTTACTACCTTTACTACTATGGGATTTGAATCGACAATCGCATCTCTGTGTTAATGCTGTATGGCAACTTGAACTGTTGTACGTACGTACGAAGCTCTAGGTTGTTGTTACCTGACTCATCTTTTAAGAAGTATCATGTTGTTGAAATAAAGAATGGAAGTTTCAGTTGAACGCTTTGAATTGAATAGCTTAAACATTCCACACAGTAGAAAATAATACCCAGTTTCACCTAAACATTTTTATCAAAGATTCAGCCACCTTTTGTGTTAATTCTGCTGTGTAAGGCAGGTTTCGATTAAAGTTGAATGAATTTGATTCTATTTATAAAAAAAGTGCAACAATCACATGATCGAATTCAGTTAGCGCGTTTGTTTTTTACAGATTTTGTTTAATAAAAGCATTCGAAAAACTGTATTTTGATAAATTTAACCGATGATGATTCGAGACTCTGGGTGTACATGGTTTTAAAATCGTTTACAATGGTGCAGGTGCATCCATTCTTTGTGTTTTCGCAAAATTCTAATCTTCTGAATCCTTCATCGCTCTTATCTTTCTTTTTAAAATTTATTTCACTGGATTATACTTGTTGGGATAATTTCTCGGAACCCTAATCTTTCTAATTACAGCTAGTATACCTCTACTGGCCTCTTCCAATATGGGATTTGAATTGACAATCTAATTTCTGTGCTGATGTAGTATTGTAGTGATCGAGAACACAGGTGGGGCAGTAAAATAGGAAAACCATATCGTAAATCATTAATTTGCAAAATATTAGTTCATCATATCGAACTGGACTGTTCCTGTTGCAAAACATCAATCCATTGTCACTATTCATGCGTTTCATACAAATTCCATTGTGTTCCCCCACTCTTCCTTTCTTGATCTTCCCCCATCCTCTGCTGCCAGACATTACGTTGACGCTCACGTCATATACTACTTATAAGTGGCGCGCACCACAGTATAACATACGTATGTACGTACGTACGTGCTAAGTTCTACATTGTAACTGATTGACTGAAATTTAACATGCCTTATAACTAAAGTATAGTAAATTTTTTTAATGAATTTCTATGCCAAATTTTGATATTCTCTTAATAGTTAATTTTATTTTACTAGTATTTTAAAATGAATTCCTTGCAAATTGATTTATTTTGTAAATAAATAAATTCAAAAAAAAACAATTAATTTTTACATTTTTTTATTTATTTCACTATCAAGTCGAACAATAATCGGTCATCTATAATAGTGGATGATGGCAGTAGTAGTTCAAAGTCACACCCAAATTCTCCATCATTTGCCGAGAGTAAGTTTTTTTTAACCTATACAATACAAATGAAACATTCAATGATTCATTTCATCTGATTGATTTCATGTTTAACCTTAAATATATATAAAGAGGAAAAAAATATGTAACCTAATAAAACCAAATTGTCAATCAGAAATTTACTGTACAGTATTTTTTTTAGAAAAATTATTATTATTATTATTATTATTATTATGATTATTATTATTATTATTATAAACATTTGTTAGAGTTTGATGTCGACCCCATAAATGACAGTTGTTGATTGATGAGTTTCACTATTATTATTATCAGTTACAGGGCTATATTTTATGGGCGTTCATTGAGACCAGTCTAATCAAATGGTAATAAATGATTAATTTAGCTTAGAAGTATTTAATAATTTTTTTGTTGACGATTATTCTTAGTTTCAAAAGCGCGCTCATCATGTAAATAATTATGCCCATTAGATGTAAAATATGATAGAAGTATTAGTTATGTCATCACTAACCAATCAAATTGTAGTTTAAGCACCCACCACCACCTGATCTGATCTGACGTGTCTGTAAACTTTCTTTGTTCTACTAAATGACCTACTAATTGAAGGACGACATTATTATCTTATTATTATTGATGTGACTCATAACTTTACTCATTTCCATAAGACACGCTATATATTGGTCGGTAGGTTTGCTCGTCTTACTTGATAATTGTAATTTCCTTATTTATTGTACTAATCTAATTGTTTTTATGTTTAGAAACAGATAAAGTTTAGAGCAAAAGTTGATCTTGTTCTGACTATAGCTTTCCCATAGATTCTGTGCTCGCTAATATTGTGTTAACAGTTCTAGAAGTACATCTGTAGCACAGATTAAATCCTACAAGAAGTGAGAATTTCAATAGTTGTTGCAAGTGATCCTATCGTAAATTTAAATGAAATTAAGTTGGCTGAATAATTTTAGCATGGTTTTTAATTGTGCTTAGATTTTGTTGGGGATGTTAGATCCCCAAAATTCGCTTGATCAATGACTTATTTTGGTTTTTACGTTTGCGAGTATGGGCTGATCTGTTGACCTTGAGATTTCAATTCCCACCAGGAAAATCCATGGTTGTGATTGGCTGCGCTGTGTATTTTAGTGTACTATTTTCTTAACTATCTCAAGGACGTTTCTATGATGTATAAATAAACGAGAGTTGTATGCTTGATTGTACTGTGATTGCTGGGTGTTTGTAGAATATACTCTCTACGCTTACAAAGCCTTTTTATTCTATTTGGGGATTCAAGGTAGCCTACCTGGACGCTGGTAATTGTCTCGTTCGCGTTTATTGACTAAGGTAAACTCGTAATAGCCTCAAGCGTACTTAGTGACGAGAGTAACAGATTTTAACTTCTATAATAATTCCGTTGAAATTCAATTACAAGTAATCGCGTACACATACCAATTAACATTCATTAGAATACTTGTCATCATGAATCAACTAAAGGGGATTTCAAGTAAATCTATCGTTCATGATTTCTGTGAACTTACAATCTTTATAGACTCTAACCAATAGTTGTCATTTCTATTCTTCCGATTAGACTTAATTATTTTTTTTTGAAACCATGAATTGATCAATGTTAGACCGCCATTAGAAACCTGGAAGCACTAGATGGCCGTTTCGTCCTGGTATGGGACTCCTCAGCAGTGCGCATCCACGATTCCTGCACCTCGCAGGATTCGAACCCAGGACCTTCGATATTGTGCGCGAACGCCTAACCATCGGACCACTAAGCCAGTATCTAACGGTGTTAATGTCTAACTTGATCAGTTCACCGAGTTGCGCAACCTTATACACAGTCTTCGGTAGTTAATGTCTGGACCCGACAGGGTTGAACTTCACTGGTCACGTCTTCCCACTAGAACTCGGAGAAGATTCCTCACGAAGCTAGTCAGTAGTGAGCATAGGTAATTTGCATTGCAAGGTTGTGAAGATTGTTAAGTTACACATTTTTGAAACCATGAATCGATCAATGTTGGACCACCATAAGAAACCTGGAAGCACTGGACGGTCGTTTCGTCGTGGTTATTTCACTGACACATCGGATTTATTTTGTATCTTTTTATTTGTAAATCCTTCAAACTATGTTGTACTGCAAGGTACAGATTTGAAGCGTAATTAGTGTTACTGTGTATTGTGTATCAACCAGAGTGTTTCGTTCGTTATGTGTGAATAAAGTTGACTTGTATTTGATGAAAAGTATGTATTGATGACTAATCGATAGATAGATAGATAGATAATGAATGTCATGTTATGTAATGTGAATAAAATTAACGTCCTAGATCTTATGTTACTTACTATAGATTAAAATACATTGATTTTTTCTGTTTTGTAAAATGTATATATTTTCGAAATTAAATTGCTTATATTGTAGTAAATTTACTAGATAATTACTGACTTTGTAAATAAGTTTATCTGCCTCAGATTTAACTAATTTATTATGTTAGATATGGTAAAAGGTAGTCGACAGGAAACTTTATCTGTGGGTTTTGTGACATTAGATATTCGCTAGAAAAAGTGTACGTCTAATTTTTGAGAAAATTAATACTCCCTACCGGTGTGGAACCTGTTTCACACAGTTTCAGGGGTTTGAAACGTTATCATCTATGGCTGACCCGTCTAGTCGTAAAGGGATAGACGAACCTAGAGGTGGTCAAACCAAAAAACATGGCACAAATCCATGAAGTCACTAACAAGTGGACTGAGTCATGTTGATAGATGTAGACTACTTGGTTGGGGTCCGCGAGACGAAATTAACCGATGGTTAGAGACCTTGAACGACATGGCTCAAAACGGTTTGCAACGGAGCAGGTGCATCCACTCTTTGTGTTCTCTCAAATTCTAATCTTCTGAATTCGTCATCACGTTTACCTTTCTCTTTCTAAACTTAACTCACTGAATTATACTTCTTGAATAATATCATCGTACCCTATTGTTCTCCATTACCAGTAATACTTCTACTATCTCTGCCACTATGTGATTTGAACTGACAATTGTTTCTCTGTGCTAATGTGATATGGCAACCTGAATTGATGTACTTACGTATGAAGTTCTACGTTGTAACTAACTGATACAAAATTAATCACTACTCAGTCAAAGATCCATTGTAACCAATTATTATGTAATTATTTTATAAATATATTGTAATTTCAGTGTACCGTTTAATTGTTAAACTATTTCCTTTTTTGTGTCTAATCAATTATAGTATTATTTCCTGGTTGTGTACCTGCAGAAAAAAATTTATATGACAGATTCATAAATCTCTTCTCCTAAATGATAAATAATAGTTGTTGCTTTGTATCAAAAGTTTTGTTTAGTAGTTTCCTTTTTCTACATACTTTTATTCAGACAGACAGACAAATACAACGCAGAACTTCGTACGTAAGTACATCAGTTCAGGTTGCTATACCACACTAGCACAGAGACGCAACTGTCAGTTCAAATCCAGGAGTGATAGTGATAATAATGGAGAAGATTAGGGAGCGAAGATATAATTCGAGAAAGATAGAGGTTGATGAGGAATTCAGAAGGTTAGAGTTTGAGTGTACACAAAGAGTAGATTCACCTGCGCCATTGCAAACGATGTGTCTGTGTTTCAAGACCTACCGTAGTGTGAAGATGTGGTCTATACATCCACGTCTAGGTCTGAAACCAGCCTGGTTTTCTCGAGTCTGCTCTTCACAAGCACTAGTTAGGCGTCTAAGTATAATCGAGGCTAACCATTTATAAACTACATAAGTTAGACTTATTCCCCTGTGGTTGTCACAAGAGGACTTTAGTCCTCTCTCGTAGATTGGGACAATTAGCGACTGAGACCAGTCAGATGGGATTACGTCCAGTTCCCAGATTCTACCTAGGATCTCGGTCAGTCCAACTGTTAAAACTGGACCACCATTTTTAAAGATCTGAGGAGTCAATCTATCGGGTCCTGCTGCTCTCTCTCGCTTCAGATTTCCTATAGCCTTTTCAACTTCATAACAGTTCGTAGGACTTACGTCGACTTGCCATTCAGGATGACTGGAGATCGTGGGTAACCGAAGTGTGGCTGAAGGCCAGTTGAACTGATCCCTAAAGTGTTCTGCCCATCGATCCAGTCTCCTGGATTGAGAATAAATAATAGTCCCATCCTTTTCCGAGATAGTCTCACTTATACTAGGATTCCTAATACCAGTTTCGTTGATAAGTCGGAAAAGTTGTCTAGTGTTGCCTATCGCCGCTGCCTTTTCCATCTCTCTCGCTTCCTCCAACCACCACTGTTCTCGATCATTGTGCAGGCTTTTTTTCAGCCTACGTCTAAGCTGACTCCGTTCCTCATCGCACTCAGAGCCAGGTGGGATGAGTTTTCAGGCATCCATCAGTTCAGTGGATGCTATTGAGATCCACAGCTTCATTCTAGCCTTATGGTTCACCTTACTAGTAGATATCACAGCTGTTTCCACAGCCTATTTGGTATCATTCCAACCTGCTTTCGGATGGGAATCGCTTACATGGTTGCCTAACTTTTTATTCATCAAGTATAAATGTGTTCATTGTATTTAATCTGTTATTATTTTTTTTTGTTTTTAGGTTTGGGTTATGGATTTCTCTGTGTCACTTTATCTAATTTATGTGCAGTTGTAGGAGTTATATTTACTTTACTTAAAAAATATCGATTCTTCCCAACAATACTTTCATTTATGGTAGCTACTGCTGTGGGTTCATTATTATCAACTTCCATTATTGTACTCATACCTGAGGTAAGTATGATGTTTTTTTTGCATAATTTTGATGATTTCTAACTATGTATACCTATAACTTCACGTTTTTTCGAATACAAGATGTTCAAGTATTGAAGTGTGCTTAATATCGTTTGATTATTGGTTTTTTAATCCATCGGTGTATGTATTCCATTTTAGTTAATTTTGGATAATGCATAATTCTCGTGCATTGTCTCACTAGTGACCTTGAACCTCATATCCATCTTGTTGTTGGAGTTGCATTAATTTACAACATTTCACTAGAAGCAAAGTTCATTTTTAATCACGCGCTATAATTTTCAACCTCTTACTAACTAGTGCGCATCTACAACCCTTGCATCTCGCAGGATTTGAACCCAGGAACTTCGGTCTTGTCCTCTATCGCCTAACTTATGGACTGCTGATCCAATATCGAACGCTGTTAATGTCTAACTTCGATCAATTCACGGTCTTGCACGACATCATACACTGTTTTCGGTGAGCACTGCTTCACACTCGAATAAGGTTGAAATCCACTGGTCACGACTTCTCACTAGAAATTTTTCTGACGACAACAACAACAACTCACAACACATATCTCAAACATCTCAACTACTGACGTTTCTCTGTTTCAATTGGTCTGCCATCCCTACCTAGTACTCTTTTCCTAACCCCAGCTTTGCTTACTTGTTGGTTCTAGAATACAGAAGCGATACTTCGAAGACATCTATTCAACCTTTACAGGTGTAGGCAGTAACTGCTGAAGACAAGTGGGTGGGGTTGCGCAAAACCCCTCGATTGGTCAGAGTTAGACATTCACACCATTGGGTGCCGACCCAGTGGTTCAGAGGTTAGGCGTTCGCGCGCAAGACTGAAGGTCTCGGATTCGAATCCTGTGAGTGGCAGGAGTCATGGATGCGCACTGCTGATGAGTCCTATACCACGACGTGACGGCCATCCAGTGCTTCCAGGTTCCTAATGGTTGCGTCATGTATGGCGTAGGCGAGATACCCGTTTGCTGACTAAAGGACGACTGTACTGCGCAGTAGTTCGCTCCGTCTTACTTTATGGCTGTGAAACATGGCCAGTGAGAGTAGGTATTCGTAGGTTACTGGTTTTCGATCATAGGTGTCTTCGAAGCATTGCTCGTATATCGTGGGACACCCGAGTGAGCAACGCTGTTATTAGAAATCGGGTGCTAGGTAAGAATGGCAGATCAATAGATGAAGTGGTGAAACTTCATCAGTTGAGGTGGTTGGGACATGTGATGCGTATGCCTAACCACTGACTGCCTCGTCGAGCTTTGTTTTGTAGTGTAGCAGTAGGTTGGAAGAAAGTTAGGGGCGGCCAGACCAAAACATGGCAGAAATCCATGAAGTCACTGACGAGTGGACTTAGCCATGTCAGTAATTGTCGACTACCTGGTTGGGGTCCGCGAGATGATAATAATCGATGGCTAGAGACCTTGAATGACATGGCTCAAAATCGTTCGCAATGGGGCCGGTGCATTTATTCTTTGTGTTCTCTCAAATCCTAATCTTCTGGATTCTTCAACCCCTCTAGTTTCGACTTTAACTTTTCTCACTGAATCATATTTCTTGAATATCTTCTAATCCTAACATCTTTGATTACTTCGATTACCTTTAATACCTCTACTACCATTGGATTTGAATTGACAATTATATCTCTGTGCTGATGTGGTGTGGCAGCATGAACTGATGTACGCACGTACGTACGAAGTTCTACGTTGCATCTGACTGAATGGTTATCTAGCATTGATCGATTCATGATTTCAATAAGTATCTATAGTTATGTTGTCTGCCAAGAAAAACATTTTTCTGATCAATGAGAGACAATAATAACTCAAATAAATTAAGCTTTGCTTTTCTCATTTATTTTGCCTACTTTTCATCTATTATACTAATAATATGTTGTATTATTCAATGCATTTACTTTCTTTGTTTATATTAGGCATTACAAATCATTCATCCAACTGGTGATAATGCTACCCAAGGTTCTAACTCTTATATTGTAAAGTCAGTTGCAATATGTACAGGTGTATTTTTCTTCTATATTTTGGAATTCTTTCTACGTCTTGTTCCACAATGTTTTCTGGTAAGTGAATAATAACCTGTGTTCATTTCGATTTTTTAGTTTACGAAAGGTATTTAAAATATGTTAATGATGAATTTGAAATCATTTATATTTTTAATGTTCGGATTCGTAGTATATTTTATATCAGTGATGGATAATTTGTTTTTGTTTCCTTATCACATTCAGTACTTGGTGATTTCTCTAGTATGAAAATTTAATGCTCGATTCGTTCGAATATTTCCTGATTTTAACTTTAAGTTACACAATTATTTTTTCGCATTTTTGAAACCATGAATCGATCGATGTTAGACCACCATTAGAAACCTGGAAGCACTGGACGGCCGTTTCGTCCTGGTATGGGACTCCTCAGTTGGATACCGGCTCAGTGGTCTAACGGTTGGGGCGTTCGCGCACAATACCGAAGGTCCTGGGTTCGAATCCTGCGGGTTGCGGGAGTCGTGGATGTGCACTGCTGAGTAGTCCCATACCAGGACGAAACAGACGTCCAGTGCTTTCAGGTTTCTAATGGTAGTCTAACATCGATCGATTCATGGTTTCAAAAATGTATAATTTAACAATCTTCACAACCCCGTAATGCAAATTATTTTTTTCTTACACCTGCTACCCCTAATGAAGCATAGGCCGCCGACCAGTGAGTTATTTTTTTTTCCGGTTGGTGCTTTTTTAGCGATTTGATTTTCTACGGGATGGAGTCGCCAATCCCTACGCCTGACCCTCCTTTATTCGGGCTTAGGACCGGCAGTAACCCCAAAATGACTTCAGGTGGAGTTTACATACTTATACGAATTAGTATTGGTACATTTGTAATGTAGTACTTGAGTGGATAATTTTTCATTTTAATAGAAATAATTTTAAATTCTAATACAATTACCATTCATTGTTTGAAAATTTTATCCTGAAACTTGGGTGAAATTTATCCAAGCCGATAAATACATTATTTCTTGATAGCAGTATAAATCACAAAGTCTATACTATACCTGAACGTACCAATCTCAAACCTCTACAGTACACTTACACAATGTCATCGGATGTGAGCAATGATTTTGTGTGGATAGCAATAAATAACTTTGAATATCCCTTGTCTAATAAGCTTAGGTTTCACTATTGTAAAGTGTGATTATCTTCATCGATGGACTGTATTTTAACCTTTTACAACGCGACTAACGTAATAGCATCTTTAGAGATAGTTTGAACGGCGGGTAGTTATAAAGGAGATTTTCTGTGAATAGACAAAATTCCAACTATTGAAATCGATGAGTAGAATGCTAGTCGTTACATGAACCCAATGATATAGTATGACGTAGTTAATGGCTATTCACGAGGACCTATAACTGACTTGTGCTTCCGGTATGATTACAAATGAAAAGTAAAACCGTTAGGTGAATGAATAACTGTTCATGTAATAAAATAATCATGATTGTACTTAAAATATGAACATGATCAAATATTACAGGTGATTGAAAGGAATTAACCTGTAAATTGCTATTATCTATCTAAATTGTTTCCTATGCTGCACAACAGAATTCTGGTGACAGACTCCTCCATAATTCTTATAAAAGTAATTTGAATTTTCATCATGCAAAGTGTATTTCATACTTACAGCCGCTGATATTTAGTTGAATAAGTGTCATTCGGGTAATTTTAAAATCATCGCATGGTAATAAAAATATCATCCGTATACTCCAGGTTAAAAAGCCTGTCTCTGGGATAAAGGCTTATACCACCGTATGTTTCTGTTAGAATTATTTCTGAAGTATCATCAGATGATAGAATACTGTTAGGTTATTGTGAATTTCGAAGTATTTCTTTGACTATAATTTATTCATCCTTCAAAGTGGTTGTGAGTAGGCGATCTAAGTCAGCTTCTTTTGAATCCTCACTTACTAAGTTACATCACTAATCACTACATGTAGAATAAACGCCTATTAGTTGGAGTAGTCATACTGTCTTTCGACATCCAGCTCAGAGAATGAAACTCCAACACAATCATCCACAATTGAACTGACAGTTGCTTCTCTGTGCTGATGCGGTATGGCGACCTGAACTTATGTACTCATGTACGAAGTTTTTACGTTGTAACTGACTGACTGAACTGAAGTGACATAAGCCTCGTTCAACATTTACTAACCTCAAGTTCTTGATGTTGGTGACTAGAGTGAGCTAGAACAACTTCCAACAGTTATCAGACAGAGCGCATTCTTAGCTTAACTGTTTTACATCTTTACTTTGTGTAAAGGCAGTAAATAAGATGAACATGTAACATTCTGTACCTCATAATAAATTCAGTGAGAAACTATCTTTACCTTCCTAACAATGTCAGTGATTTAAACAATAACACTTCTGACCACCATTTAGTCAAGTTTGTTAAAAATGTCAATTGTAATTTAAAATTTTCATTTACTACTTATCTAGAAAAAGAAGACACATTCGAATGATAAAAGTCCAAATGGATTTCATACCGAACAATTAAATCACCATCATCATCAACATCCGCATCAACATTCCTATCATCAACAAACTAATCGATCTTCATTAGTAATACCTGTTGAACCGATTGTTGAGTATACACCTTCTTCTAATCGTTGTTCTAATCAATTGAAAACAATAAAAAAATCTCATGGTGATGGAGATACTACAGATTTACACTGTGAATCATCACCGCCAAATGAAGATGTTATGAATCATTTACCGTCATATGAAGTGAATAATTTTATTTAATTTTTAACTTGTTATTGTTATTCAATTTCATTGTTGATTTTCGGGGTATTAATTAATGTGACAACAATTAGTGTTATTATTATTATTATGAATTTATATATGATATGATAGTGATGTTGTGCTTTATTTTGTCTGATTGACGTGAGATGGTAATAATCGATGGTTAGAGACACTGAAGGACATGGTTCAAAATCGTTTGAGATAGCGCAAGTGCATCGATTCTTTGTATTCTCTCAAATTCTAACCTTCTTAATTCCTGATCACTGTATCTTTTTCAGTGTATTTCACTGAATTATACTTCTTGAAGAATATCCTCGAACCCTAATCTCTCCGATTAGTGCTAATACTTTTACTATCTCTACCACTATGGGATTTGAATTGACAATTGCGTCTCTGTGCTGATGTGGTGTGGAAACTTGAACTGATCTACATACGTACGTACGAAGTTCTACGTCGGAGTTCAGTCGATACAGTTAAATTTTTTCATACAAAAACCTTTATTTGTTATGTTACTTACATTTATGTTTTTAAATTTTATCAGTCAGTCAGAGTCAGATGCGACGTAGAACCTCGTACGTAAGTACATCAGTTCATGTTGCCATACCACATCAGCACAGAGATGTAATTGTCAATTCAAATCCAATAGTAGAAGAGGTAGTAAAGGTATTAGAGGTAATCGGAGAGGTTAGAATTAGAAGATATTATTCAAGAAGTATGATTCAGTGAGATAAGTTAAGAAAGTCAAAACCAGACGGGTTGAAGAATTCAGAAGATTAGGATTTGAGAGAACACAAAGAATAAATGCATCGGCGCCATTGCAAACGATTTTGAGCCATATCATTCAAGGTCTCTAACCATCGATTATTATCATCTGGCGGACCCCAACCAGGTAGTCGACAATTACCGACATGGCTAAGTCCACTCGTCAATGACTTCATGGATTTCTGCCATGTTTTGATTTGGCCGCTTCTAACTTTCTTCCAACCTACTGCTACACTACAAAACAAAGTTCGTCGAGGCAGTCGGTGGTTCGGCATACGCAAGACATATCCCAACCACCTCAACTGATGAAGTTTCATTACTTCATCTATTGATCTGCCATCCTTACCTAGCACCCGTTTCCTAACGACAGCGTTGCTCACTCGGGTGTCCCACGATATACGAGCAATGCTTCGAAAACTTTTATATAATCACATGTCAATCAGTTATTATTAGCCATTGCATAGTTGTCAGTGATCGTTTGCATTTCTCTATCCTTCAATCTAAACTAAAATAAACTACTAAAAATTTTTTTACTCGTATAATGAATAAATGACTCTTAATTATCATAATTAAAACAAATTTAACTCTCTTCTCAGTGAATCATTATGATTGAAAATGTTTTTGTACATCATAACTGTTCCTCGCTAATTCTACTATCATCTCCACCACTATGCGATTAGAAGTGACAATTGCATCTCTGTGCTAACTTGGTATGGCGACCTGAACTTATGGAGTTACATACGAAGTTCTACGTTGTAACTGAGTGACTGAATGACGTTATAATTGTTTAAGCTTTACTAGCTGATCTCCAACAAATACTTGCACAAATAAATAGACACTAGTAGTTGTAAACTTTTAACACTTGTTAATCGATCATGTGTTACCTGGTTTTTTGTGTGCCGATGATTGAAAAAAAAGAACAGTGTTATACTTTGGAATTTTACTATATATGGTCTTTTGAGACTTACAGTTTCCATTTGAATTATTTCAGGTTGTATTACACTGGTTCAACTACTAGTTCCTAGTTCTTCCATGTAAAATACTTATTCAAAGTGAAAACATGTTAAACGTTTCATAGTTAGTTAGTTCCTTAATAAACGTATGGAATTGTTACTAGTCAGTTCTTGGTTATTAGTGTAGGGGACGTTCGATCCACAGAACTCACTTGATTAAAGTCCTAATTTTGGATTTTATGCTTTCGCACATGGGCTGATCAGTTGACCTTGAGATTACATTTCCCACACGAAACGTCCTTGGCTGTCATTGGTTGATGTAGTTTTTTTTAGTACGCTATTTTTGTAGCTCTCCCAAGGACGTTTCTATCATGTATAAATAAACCCGATTTGTGTGTTTGTGAGCCTCATATTTTATGGGTGCTTGTAGAATACACTTTCTACGTCGTGTCGAGACTTCTTCCTCTACTTACTGGGGCCTTGGGATGCTCGGATGAGAGTAGCCTATCGTGTCACTGGATAATTTGTGTTCGCTCTCATTTACCGACTAAGGCAAACTCGTGATAGTTTCAAGTATATCAATTGACGAGCATAAAAATTAGTGACTTTTATGAAATAAACAAAGTCCCAGGTCAAACAATGACGCTCATAAATATTCAATGTTTTTTTTTCGCTTACTGAATAACAGTCATTCATATACTTACTAACTTTTGTTTATTTAATAGTAATTAATATTTATACACGACCTATTATGCATATAAGAGTGGATTGTTTACGAAATGATTCGGTACTTATGTATTACATTATATAAGTGATATGATCCTCTAGTAGTAGTATTAGTGGTAGTAGTAGAGTATTTTACGCCTATTTATTCACAATTTTTCTCATACACTCATAGCTACTTAATTTACATGCCATGACACCAACCAGTTTTTTGAAACATACTTTTAAGCAAATAGAAATGTGATTATTTACAGAAACCGACTAATTTATGTTTGAATCAATGAGAAATACATTTGATAATATATTTATGTGGTCAATATAAATGATAATTGGATTTTCTTTTCATAAATATTCAAAATATATTACTTTTGCTGATTAAACAATTTCACCCTTGAAATCTTGGAAATTACGTATGAATGAGAATACTCCCCCCAAAGAAAATTTATGCACGCATATTATTCATTTAATTAATATATAGAAACAAAATGATCAATGCATCATTTCATTTTTTGTCTTGTTACTTTTTTTAGTAGAATGACGTACTTAACAGAATCGAAAGACATTTTATTTGCAATAAATGTGTGTTAATAGTTTTTTTTCGGTAACTATTGCTAACTCTTAAAAGGAGTTATGGGGATTGTTCTTTGTTACTGAAATCATGAATTAATCATTGTTAGACCATCATTAGAAGAAACCTGGAAGCAGTAAACAGTCGTTTCGTCTAGGTTGAAGACTCATTGGCAGTGCGCATCCATGACTCCCGATACTCGCAGGATTCGAACCCAGGGCTCTCGGTCTTGTATGTGAACGTCTAGCATCTGGGCCACAGGTCCGGTATTTAGCGGCGTTTAATGTCTAACTCTGATTAATCTAGGAATTTTACGCGACCTCCTCATTCATTTGTCTTCGGCAGCTACTGCCTACAACCAACAGGTTTGAACTCCACTGGTCACATCTTCCCATTTGGAACTCTGAGAATTTTCTCACGAAGCTAGTCACTAGTGAGCACCTGAGTTAGTATGTCTTATATTATAGGCTTTAAATGAAAATTTTGTGTTGACAAATGTTTCAGATATATTTGAAATTGACTTTTGTAGTTTTTGTAGCTTTTGAGTTTTGTAGCTTTTATTATTCCATACTTCTGTGGCTACGTTTCAGAAAATCTCTTACTGATACAGTTTATCTACAATGTCTATGCTTATCTACTCTATCCTGAGCCTTCCTTGCCAGTTTTATCCAATTGCTGTTCATTTTCTTCATGTCTGAGGGCGAAGTCGTACTGCTGAATGTAAAGAGGTGTGACAGTAGTAATGTGTTTCCCTCAGACAACCAGCATCTGCAGCGATGCTGCCTTTACACAACGGAAAGAAGGGATTAAATTATGTTGACCACAAACATTTCACTCCTAACCTTACTCCACGGATACCAGTCTCAGGTGACAAGGCATTTTGAATAGTGGAGATAACGCATCGACTTCCTAGAAAAAGACCGTGAATGACCGACCTCAAGCAGTTGTCCGTTGGTCCTGCTCCCAGGTCGCTAAGACCCTATACAGTCGAACTATCTTAACGTTCGTATTGGAAATTCTAACCTTGTCTTACACCAGCCCTCACTTTCAGTGGGTCTGTCATCTGTCCTCCACGCACGATGTTTCAGTATAATCCCTCGTAAGAACTCCGTATGATGTTGACTGTCTCCTCAGACTTTTGCTGGTATTGATTGTAGAGTGATGTTTCTGTTGTCCTCTCACTTGTTTAACATCTCCCTCTTTTTTATGGTGACGAGGTGTTTTTCTCTTCAGTCTCTTTGTACTTGTCCTTTCTCTCAAATCTTGCTGAACAGAGCATGCAATATCTTAGCAGTTACTTCTATATCACAGCTGCCTTATTCAAGAATTCTTCAAAGTGCTCTACCCACCTGTTTTGCTGTTCTTGGAAATCGGTGACTGACTTATTGTCTTATTCGTTCTTGACTGGTCGTTCCGGTTTACTATATTTTCTAGTGAGCTTTGTCGTATCGTATAGCTGTCTCGTGTTCCCTTCTCTTGAAGCTGTTTCTGGTATGACTGCTAGATCTCCCACATATTTACGAGTGTCGGCTCTGATGCTCATCTTCACTTGCTTGTTTGCTTTTGTGTATTCGGCGTGTTTATTAGCTTTCTTTGCTCTTTTTCCACTCTTATTGGTTGGTGAAACTTCATCAGTTGAGGTGGTTGGGACATGTGTTAGGTATGGCTAACCACCGACTGCCTCGTCGAGCTATGTTTTGCAGTGTAGGAGCAGGTTGGAAGAAAGCTAGGGGCGGCCAAACCAAAACATGTCAGAAATCCATGAAGTCACTGACTAGTGGACTGAGTCATGTTGGTAGATGTAGACTACCTGGTTGGGGTCCGCGAGACGAAAGTAACCAATGGTTAGAGACCTTGAACGACATGGCTCAAAATCGTTTGCAATGGTGCAAGTGCATCCATTCATTGTGCTCTCTCAAATCCTAATCTTATGGATTCGTCAGCACCTCTACCTTTGTCTTTCTAACCTTATTTCA